GTTTCTCAGTTTGGTGACTATGGAGTTTTTATGACTTTATTTTTGAGCTGCCTTGTTGCTGAAATGTGCTACAGAATAAACTTGATTGATTTTTTTCTTATATTGCCTCATATTGTCACGACATGGCGACAACTTCAACAAATATGGAAAAAACGTTTTTGAAAAAGTTACAGACTGCAGCTTCAAATTGATAAGTTGGTGTTTCCTAAGTTTCCTCTGTGCCTTTCCTGACCCAGCCGTGTGTGTGTGTGTGTGTGTGTGTGTGTGTGTGTGTGTGTGTGTGTGTGTGTGTGTGTTTTCAGGCACGACAGAGCGGGTGTGTCTGATCCAGGGGACGGTGGAGGCGTTGAACGGCGTCCATGACTTCATCGCTGAGAAGGTGAGGGAGATGCCTCAGAGCACCCAGAAGACAGAACCGGTCAGCATCCTGCAGCCGCAGACCACCGTCAACCCGGACCGCGTCAAACAGGTCCGTCTGCGTGTCTGGCAACAGAACCGGGGGATGGTTGGTGCTTTTATTGTGAAAGGCTATGAGGCGACGCCTCATACCGGGTTTATGTCTGGAGATTTTAGTGTGAAGGAAGGAAGGTCTGGTATAAATTATGCTATTATCTAAATGTGTTATTTAGGATTTCCTTTAACGTTTTTGATGTGAATGCAGGCGATTTGTGACTTTGTTTGCTGACCTTTAACCTTTGAAAAATCACCTCATCCTAGTTCAACAACTTAACATTTCTTTGAAACTGGCGTGTTTCCATTGAGCTAATTGATTTTTTTCACATTCAATTTGCACCCTTACAAATAAAAACTAACATTTCTGCCATAAACTTTTCTGGAAAAAGAAGTAAATGCCTGAGTTTGAAAAGTTGATGATTTTCTTCAAAAAAATATAAAATTTTCTGAGATTGAAATCTTGAAATATTTCTGGGATTAATATCAAAACTTTTTGAGTTTTAGTAGATTTTTTAGCTTTTCAAAGTCAGAAGTTTCCTTGTTTTTTCTGGTTAATTTCTCAGATTTTTGGTGGAAATTTACTCCAAGTCGTAGTTATCTTGTATTTTTTTGTCTAGTTTCCAGTGCAAATATCTTTACTTTTGTCTTACTTCAAGTTTACTAACTTACAAGAACCTTTTCAGCAAGATGTAGGAGCTTCTATTACATAAATAATTCCTTGGTGAAAATGTTCTAGTCAGTGAAATAATCTGCCACAGGAACAAGTATTAGTCTCAATATTAAAGAACTAAACCAGCTCTTTTGTTTTGCTGAAAATTTACTCGTAGCTTCGTCTTACTCCAACTGTCTTCAGGTATTTACAGCAGAAACTAGACAAAAAATACTTGGTCAGATTTTGTGTTTTTGCAGTGAAACCAGCAGCTGGTTTGCAATTTTCTGCCAAGCCAAAAACTGGAGTGACTGATGTCTACAGAAAGGTCTGTGGAGCAGCGAGACTTTTATTAGTATTGGATTAAACCAGCGGTGTCCAGAGTCGGTCCTGGAGGCCCGGCATCCTGCAACTTCTAGTTCTCTCCCTGGTTGTAGAAACAACTTTTTCAGCAAGTCAGTGTTCCTGTACGGCCTCTAACGAGCCATCATTTGATCCAGGTGAGTTAAACCAGGGAGAGACCTAGAACATGCAGGATGCCGGGCCTCCAGGACCGACTCTGGACATCCTGGTTTAAACTAACTGTATGCAGAAACTAAATAATTTAGGAAAGCCAGAGTGTCTACAGGTTTTCCCTTTTCCTTTGGGCTTTTGAATCCAGCTGTGTGCAAACAAGGTGCATAAAATCAGTAGAAAACCCTTTTCTGGCCCAGGCCTCATGTTTTAGTAGGTTTTTAACATCCCTGTTGAGATGAACAGCTTTTAATTTAAGAACGATATTCTCCCAGTTTTACGAGGAGCTTTTAGGAGCCCTCTTAAACGTTTTACCATAAACCCCGAGAGGCAACTCAGGAACAGTGACGTAGGTGTGCTAGCTCAAACAAAAAATAAAAAAACAAGAAAAAATGTTCCGTCACTTAATGAGGAACAAATTAGGAGGAAAATCCATGATTGCAAGCAGATTTGTTGGACTATAAGTCCAGAAAAGACGCTGGAGGGGAAAAGAAGGAGGTGAAGGAAGGAGGAGGGAGATGAGATGGAGTCGGACAGGATGCTGCGTCGGAGGTGTGAACATGCAAACTGCAGGCTGACACGCACGGCCACACAGGCCGGAACGTCCTGCAGGAAACGCCGTTTGGACTACTCTGCTTCACGCATGCGCTGCAAAAACTCAAAATCTTACAGAGTAAATTTGGTTTCTAGTGCAAGTATCTGAAATAAGACAAAACTAAATCACAAGTAAGAAATAGCAGCTTGTTTTGAGTCAATAAATCCTTAATGTTGATGAAAAAGTTCTAGTTCCACTTGTCAACAGGGTCTTTGCGGTTACCTAGCAACCCCAGCCAAGCCCGGTCCGTCTCCTAGCAACCCAGTTCTGCTTCCACTGGCAGATTTTTTCCCTTATAACAAAACATTTTCTCCATAATCTGCCAGTAGACCAAGAACTTTATCAACATAATGAAACTGTTTACTAAAAACAGGTTCCTACGTCTTGGTGAAAAGTTACTTCTTAATTAGTTTTGTCTTATTTCACATGTAACAAGATGTTTGGACAAGAAGCTAAACCAAACATATTTGGTAATATTTTGTGTTTTGATGTATTTGCTCATATGCCTTAAGCAGCGTTTCTTTTTACACCAGAGCAAACTTAAAACTCTAGATGCTAACTACCTTAGCATTTTCGTGCATGCTAGGCTACATTATGGCGGGTCGTTTTCTTGATGTTTACTAATAATTACACGCGTACCTTCAGCATAATGCAGTATTTAATCTTACCAATCTTATTTAAAAACATTAATCTTCTTACCTTTAGACGACTGTCATCCATCAACGTCTTTGCAAACAAAAGCAGCGTTGCCAGATTGGACGGGTTTCCACCCAATTAGGCTGCTGTGGCAAATTTAGGCTGTTTTTCCACATTCAGTGAGTTTTTAGAAATGTTTCTTTTGAAACAGCTGTCCTTGTGTGGGACAGATATTCAAAACATTTAATAAAAAGCCTTGATCTTCCACTTATCTTTTTATTTAATTTATTTTGAAATCTCTTGAATCTGGCAAACATGAATTAAAAGGAGATGACAAAAAAACCACATCTTATTGTGACAGTAAATTTCATTAGAGCTTGAGATTTGGGCTGATTTTTTATTTGAGCAGGTTTTATGTTGTTTTGGGGCTTTGAACTGTCAAATCTGGCAACACAGATCAAAAGTTTACAATGAAATAAGTTTAGTTTGCATTTTTGCCCTTTTGTGCATCAATGACCATTTTTACAGTGAAATCAACTGAATAAAAGCGACGTTGCGCCGCTATTTTTACAGAAGAGTTTGTTTGGATGTCCGTCATGGCGAATGAGCTGCTTTATGTTTTAAACACAATAAATTTAACTTACAAGAATCGCATCACATTTCAGAGACTTTCTGTAATTAATTAGCCAGAAACGGAAACTATTAAGATCTTTTTTATGGTGTCCCGATCAGTGGATGAACTGAGTCCTTGTAACATTTTAGAGTCATATTTAGATTACATAATGTTTGTTATAATTACCTTTCCATTTGGCTGCAGTGGATTTAACAGTAAAATGATTTATTATGGGCTGGACGACGATGCAGCTGTGAGCACTCCAGCAGAAAATGGGTCAGGAGTTTCTGTGTTTCCTTCCCAAACCGTGACTGCTGGTTACCTGGCGCTCCGTAGGTGTGTGTGTGTGTGTGTGTGTGTGTGTGTGTGTGAGTGTGTGTCCTGGGTTTTACCCCGCCTCTCGTTCATTAACCTCTGGCCCGCTGCCCTGACAAGGACTAAGTGAAGCGTAGATAGATAATTCATCATGTTTGTACAATTTATTCCCTTATGTTTAATTTGAGGTTTGAAAAAATCTTTGAATATTAACTTTTCATCAGCAGAATTGCATGAAAGATTTTTCCAGGAAAATGATCGCCTAGGGGACAGTTTCTGTTAAAATTGTTGCATAAAAAGTCCTCCATAGATCAAATGTAAATTAAAGTTGGATAAAACTGACAATGACAACTGTTTTAGGAAACTGTCTGAATCTGACTGTGTGTCACAGCAGTTACAGCCCCACACTGCACAAACAGAAAACCTTACAGAGTATTTTCTGTTTCTTGCTCCTGAAACAAGACAAAACTAACTTACAAGTAACTTTTCAGGAAGAAACAGGAGCTTGTTTCACATTTTTACCATGTTTTACGTGAAATAATCTGAACTAGAACTGGGTTGCTAGGCAACGGACGTGGCGTGGCTGGGGGTTGCTAGGCAACGGGCTGGGCGTGGCTGGGGGTTGCTAGGCAACGGGCTAGGCGTGGCTGGGGGTTGCTAGGTAACGGCACAGTGGAATAATCTACCAGTGGAACTAGAACTTTTTCATCAATATTAAGGAATTATTGACTTAAAATGAGCTTCCATTTCTTGCTGAAATGTTGTTTGTAAATTAGTTTTGCCTTATTTCAAGTGTGGTAAGATATGTTAACTAAAAACTAGACCAAAAATACTTGGTAATATTTTTTTTTTTTTCAGTTTTTCAAAAATCAGACAGAAGTGCTGCATCCTGATGTCTCGGCTCTGGAGACGAAGTTGCGTCTTTTCTCCTCTGATGATGTGATTTCTTGTTTGGATGCATCAGCAGGATGATGTGAAGGTGTGAAAGAAAGCATCATTCCTCTATGATGCAAAAACTCGCATTATAAAACACCAACAGTGAGGAGAAAGATGCTGGTTTCATTTTCAACAGAGAAACAGCAGCAGGAATCTGTTGATTGCTCTTTAAAATTAGGCTTTTTATACGTGAAGGAAAGTTGTTTTTAGGGTGCAACACTCAGAAGATGAGATGAGTTTTGATGTGAATCATAAGAATGAAACCAGATGAGATCTTACAACTTCAAAGATCAGATTTATGCTCCAAAAAGGCTTTTATTCTGCATTTTTATGGATTTTTGCCACAAGCTCCAACTGATGTTTTTTTTCCTGCTTTCTGTTTAAGACCTGCTCTCCAACTGATCATTCTGCAGCGCTGATCGTTTCCCAGCTGCTGCTGATCAGGTTCAGTACGATGTCGCACGACAGCCCTTAGATGTCCAGCTACTGGTTGCTATGGCGATGCTTCCTGCCTCTTTCTGAACAACTTGTGTTGCTTATTGTTAGTTTAGTCTTTCATTTTGTAGCCATTTATTGTTCCTGCTGGAAACGCAAAAAGGAAAAAAATCGATTTATGTGTTTTCAATCAGGATTTCATCAGATGAAGCCATGCTAGCAGTAGCTAGCTAGCAGCAGCTAGCTAGTAGCAGCTAGCTAGTAGCAGCTAGCTAGCAGCAACGTCAACGAGAAATATTGTGATGTTTTAATATAGTCGGATCTTCTTACAGCCCAACCGGTCTTGGTTCTGGTTCCTCCCTGTCTGGAAGTTGATGCTGTGGAAACGACGGAGAAGTAGGGCCACACTAAGAAAACAAAAATTCAAATAGTACTTTATTCTCATTATATTTAAATGTTTTTCTCATACCATTAAATTCTTTTTCTTGTAATATTAAACCATTTTCTCCTAATATTATGACTTTATTCTGGTAATAATATTTCCCATCATGGCCGTTTTACACTCCGTCTAGTTTCTGACTCGTTTTGTTGCCAGGCTGTGATTTATCATCATTAAATGGAAGAAATTCATAATTATGAATAAATATTTGGAGATAAATGCATCTGCCGGTTGATCTCTCCAGCAGCATGTGAGGTTCCTAAAAGGCCGTCAGAATGTGTGAGATGTTGTGTTTGTGCTGCTTTTACAAGCCATTACAGAGTGAGGGTGAAGTCAGAGGTCAAAGGTCAGGGCTCCGCGGGGGTCTTTTCCGAACCAGAGCTCTGCTTCCTGTTTCCAAGCAACAGCTCACAGGAAATCTGCGTCCTGACATGAAAACATCGGCGATCAGGATTCGCAGAGGTCGCACAAACGAGGCACGATCTGCTAATTGGCGCGTTTCCGTGCCGACGGGCGGGTTTGGTTCCTGCAGCTCAGCTTCAGCTATTACAAAGTTTTTTGTTTTGTACTTTAACTGAATGTGTTAACAGTATTTCCATGTTGCAGTCGACTGGCAGCTGAGTAATCCGGTTCTGGATGATTTGAGAAGCCACAGGGAGACAGGCGGCTAATAGCTGCTGATATTTAGACTCTTATAATAGAGGGCGAATCCCCCTGTTGCTCTTCAGGCTATTTATACCAAGTCGGAGCAGAAACTAAATGGGTTTGTGCAGCATCTGATGACACACAGAGAAACTCCCGCTCCAAAATAACCTCCGAAGTTTTCCAGAAGAACCTGCAGTGTTAAAACAAACAAACGCCGAGTAATACGGAGAATTTACTGCAAAGTGTTTCTCTAACTTCTGCTGGGTTGGAAACGGTGCATGGATGAGTAACTCACACTTTCCCAGACGTCTCTGTAAACTTTTCATCAGGCGGGAAAAAAATCGTTAAGCTAGAAAAATGTATGAAACCCTTAAAAAAACAAATAAAGCAGCACTTTTTTTTTCTTTTTTTTGTAGGATCCAAGTATTTAAAAGTCATTTTCACCTTTGAATTATTAAAAGAAAGGCTTCTAGGTTTGAAATAGTTTTAGGCTTTTTTCAAAGGGTTTGCTGTATTTAGCTGAGCTGAATAAATTTCAGGTGAAACAAAGTTGATATTTCAGTAAAAGTGGATCTTGGTTGTAAAAAGGTGAATATTTTGTCATACTTTACATTTTCCACTGTAAGAAAATTATGCCAGTAATGATTTTACCCTGATAAAGCTGCAGTGAGTCACTTTTATTAAAATATTTACATATTTGTTGAAACTGCTGTTAGATCAGTGGGATAAGATGTGAAAAATTGAACTTCTCCAAATAGAACGATAATTAAAATGAGCTCAATATTTCCATTTGCATTACTAATTGTTTTCCTCTTTCTACCAAAACTGGACAATAAAAGTTTTCAGTTTTTTCCAGTGTTTTGGAAACTAGCCCTTTTTTTGAAGGACAGTTTTGTTTACAGAGACTTTATGATTTATTTTGGATATTTAATTGTCTTCCAGTTCCAGAGTTAAATGTTCTGCGTGTGCGGAGGGTGCGGGGCCGGGATCTCTGGTCCAGTCAGAGGAGGCGAGGGGGAGGACAAAAGATAACAGAGGGAAGAAAGGAACAAAGGGTCGGGAATAAAAAGTGTTGCAGACGATGACATGAGGATAGATGGGTGGAGCGCCGAGCTGTTGTTAGCCGACAGCTGCGGAGTGACGGCGGCCTGCAGCTTGGGAAGCAGACAGACAGAAAAGCAGAGCAGCAACGACACCAACAGACGACACGGCGCTTCAAGGACACGAAAAAACGGGTCAGGAGGCGATTTATGGGCCGAGCGGATTCCTCTGGAGGCCGGGTGAAATTAAGGAGAAGAAGTCAAATAGAAAACAATAACTGGCATTGTTTAAAGTTTGAACTTCCATAAAACAAGTCCATCACACCTGTTAACCTTATTTGAACAGCTCACAGATATGGCCTATACAAAACCCGTTCATGACATTTTCTGTGCACAAAATCCTTCATAGGTAATGAGGTTTTATCTGTTTTAGGGTGTCTTGTCGTTTTAAATCCAAATACTCTGCTTCTGGATCCCCCAACTCATCGTTTACTCTCGCACGTGAAAATAGTTGCAAACAGATGCACAATTATACAAGCTTACAGATTTGAATAGCATTAGTGGCGCATTCTGCACAACCAACAAGGATGCAGCAAGTGGTTTCTGGATGGCAAATGAACAGCAAAACACTTGTCCTTTCAATCAGCCATTGTACAGCAGTAAAAGTAGCTGTAGAACGAGTTCCCAATGTGCTGGAACTCTGCGGGGGTTGCTAGGTAACAGGGGGAACTCTGCTCAGGTTGCTAGGTAACAGGGGGAACTCTGCTGGGGTTGTTGGGTAACAGGGGGAACTCTGCTCAGGTTGCTAGGTAACGTCAGTTATGACTCAACATTCTGCAGGTTTTTGAAGCGGCTCATTCACTTATTGCCCAAAAAAACAGCTGGATGTTTTGGGTTTTTTTTAGAAGCACTAGAAACCCGACTAGAAGCACAAAAAATGTGGAAAATCTGAATTTTGTATAATAACTTCCCTTTAAATTCTCATACAGCCTTGATACAAATTATTTCCTTCCTTTCTTCTGCGTTTTACATTTTAACATTCGTGCCCTGCAAATACAAGATTATTAATATTTTTAAGGCATCTACAGAGGTGAATGCCTTACAGCACATCAAACATGAGGTTCGGGGGCCAAATCCGGCCCGCCAGAGATTTTTAAGTGGACGTTTTTATCTGCATACTGCCAAACTGCATAAATTAGTTCATCCACTTCTTGAAAAAGTGTACAAGAAAACTGCAAAATGTTTTTTGTTTTTTTTTACTCTGATATGGACAAGGACTACATGCTAACGCTAAGTTCAACTAAATTTGACAATTTAAAACATTTTTAAAAAATACATAAAGATACAAGGTGATGAAAGATGTATCAAACTGTTTTTTAAATCAATTTTAGAAGTTTTACTTCCATCATCATGTCTTATAAGCAGATTTGAACTCAGACGGTTCTAATCGCTGTTGACTCAGACTTTGAACGTAACCTGATCGAGTTTCGTTTTCTGTTATTCCAGGGATTTTTTAGCCTCTCTAGTCTATTGTTCAGACTGATTGTTTTAAACTTTAATAGCTGACCATTTACCCACATGCAGCCACTTCCTGTAACCTCCCAGCTCCTGTGTCAACACCTGTTTCCTGCTTCCTGTTATTGCTCCTCTACACAGGAAGTTTGACATTCATGTTGGGAAAAGGGAGTAGGACTCATTTCAGTGAAATGTCAGGAGATTAGTCTGACATTTAGTGGTGAACTTCATTTGTGGAACTTTGTTGATTTATTTGTTGTTATTGATCGACGGTAGATTAATAATTGTTTTAGAAAAAAAGTGACTGTTTTGGAAATGCCTGCATTTCTTCTAATGGCCAATAGGGGGCAAAAATGTAAATTTAGTTTTCTAATCAACCAAATTCTCAGATCTGAGAAAAAAAGCTTTTTTCATTTTGCTGCAACTCATAGTTTAAAGTTTAATTTTAGACTTTTATTTGTTAATAAATAAAAGTCATAATTTGCCTAAAAAAAACAGTAAAAATGGGACAGATTGAGTTGAAGTAACCTGAGTCTGACCGGAGGGAGTTCCAGTGATTATTACTCCTGTTTTCAAAGACATAACTGTGGAGGCCAAGGCAATAAATCCAAGAACATATGAGCAACGTTATGATGTCAACATATTTCCACCCATTTTCACTTGTGAAGGCCAGAAAACGTTGATGTTTCAGGAAAAGATGTGACAACATGGACGCTTAAGTTTTCTTTTGTAATCTGCTTACTGTGAAATATCAGTAGCTTTAATTTGTAGTATTAGCTCAGTTAGCATGTGGCATGTTTCGGCATTTCCCTACTTGTAGTGTTTCTTTGTACCATTAGCTTTAAACATTAGCACAGCTAGCATGTAGCATCTATTGACAGAATTCCTCTCTCGTAGTGTTAGTTTGTTGTGTTAGCTTGTAGTATTAGCACAAATAGCATGCTGGATCATTCAGCATTTCCCTAATTGTAGTGCTAGTTTGCAGCATTAGCTTGATGCATTAGCGCAGCTAGCATGTGGCATCTTGTAATGGGATTCCTCATTCGCAGTGTTAGTGTGTAGCGTTAGCTTGTAGCAATTGCACAGTTAGCATGTTTATTCATAAATAAGTCACAATTTGCAAAAAAAACAGTAAAAATGGGACAGACTGAGTTGAAGTAACCCGAGTCTGACCGGAGGGAGTTTCAGTGATTATTACTCCTGTTTTCAAAGACATAACCGCGGAGGCCAAGGCAATAAATCCAAGAACATATGAGCAACGTTATGATGTCAACATATTTCCACCCATTTTCCACAACCTGCCGTAGCCAGAAAACGTTGATGTTTAAGGAAAAGACATGAAAACATGGCTGCTTAAGTTTTCTGTTGTTTTGTGCTCACTCATAAATATTGGATATGCTGTTTGGCTTCCCCCACTTCCTGGTTACATCATACTTCATAACTTTTTATTCATCTTTTTCTTTTATCACTCCTGCAATTTACAGCCTCGGCATAAATGCTCAGTCAGCAAAACGGCAGTGGCTCTCGATCCCTGCTTATCTTCAGCAACAGAGGATACCGAGTTTCTGCATTTTATTACAGACTCTGTAATAAAATTTAAAATTTTTTTTAGGTCACATGAAACTCAGACAGACATTTTGCTTTCCTTTCAGAAAGGTGAAGCAAAGATTTATCGGGTTCAGTGATGGAAAAACAAAATGTACTCCTGCTGCTTCCTCAGCAGTCGCCAGAGGCAGCT